CTGACTAGAAATAATCATCTTTAGACCAGGCTACACGAACGTGTTGCTGTGCCTCTTTTAGAAACCCTGCTAAGGTCCATGCACCCTGTAGACTGCTTTTTACAGAATATGATAGCTCATCCAGGGCTGCAGGGCTTTAAGGCAGAATAATGCACAAGGCTCTTAGTGCCCTGTAGTGGCTGGTCTGCTCCATCACCATCTCTCCCCATTTCTCACTGACACCCACCCCTGTAGGAGTGGGACTGACCATGGAGAGGACGAGCAAGCAGCATCACTCCAGACTTGGGCTAAAGAAGAGGGAAAAGAAACAAGTGCTGAAGGGCTGGGTGGTGTGGGACAGACCACACGATTGCTATGCCACATACCTCAGTGCTGCCATTCACCATACCTCCATAGCACCGCTGTATCTCCAGTGGTCATTCAGAGAGGACTGTGGGTCCCTGGACAGTTCCTGGCGTCTCTGATGGGCTATCAGATCATGTTATACCAGCAAAGGAAATGGGCCAGGGACTGCTCTCTGGCCCCGAGGCCAGCTGGCACCACACAGCTCATGTCCATATGGCTAAACCCTCTTAGTCTCCAGAACAGGGTGGCAGTGTCTGGGGCAAAGCTACTTGGTGTATTCAAAATCACACCATGGCCCACGCTGTCAGCTTAACAATGTGGATGTTCACAAGCCAATGTTTAGTTTGTGAGGATTAGCATCCTCACACCCACATTTAGCATTAGAGATGATGCGAATTGGGATGCCAAACTTTCCTTACTGACACCGTTTATGCGTTTTGGCCTGGTCCATTCGACGCCATCAGATGGCAGACTTGTATTTCCTTCCAACATTGGCAGTAGATGCTGCATTACTGCTTCCTTCTCCCCCTCAGCTCTTTATTCTATCTTTTAAATATGCTCCCAGGCACCACTTCCATATGGATCACCTTTAAGATGTGTCTAACTTCCTGTTCTGAATCATCTTCATTAAAGGTTCTGCCTTTGGACCTTCAAATACTTCTTGCCCTAGTAAACTCTGACGGTTGATTTTCCTAAAGGAAAAAGTCTGTGGGAACATCCCCATGGCCTGAGCTCCTGCAGCTGCAGCCCCCTGTCAACAAAAACATCTGTGGACTTTCTTTCCCTTGATACTGAATACCTAAACAGAATGCTACTCCTTCTGTGGCTGTATGGATGTATGAATGGACTCCTGTACAGCTACAGCCAGGAACCAGACAACACAGGCTACTGATTAAAACAGGATGCAAGTATCCTTGCAAGGCAAAAGCAGGCCAACTTGCCTAGTTTTGTTATTTTCCTGAATGACTTGATCACAGTCCACTGCGGAGGGAGTAGAATTCTTTTAATCCTGCTCTTCTCCAAGGCATTCATAGCAGGGGACACACTGAATTATGAAGCTGAGAGTAGAATCCCAATGCATGACCATCTACCCCTACATTTGAGCCAAAACACTATTGTTAGCCAGCAGCAAAGCAGGCTTTGCTGTAATGCTCTGTATTGCTAGCAGGGCAGAACTTCTGCCTTTTTCTGCACATAAATGCAGAGCAAATACAAGATGAATGAGAGAGCAACAAAGGAACTTCAGGGACACAAGCCCTGGCATTATACTTAAGTATAAGATTTGGTGTCTTCCTACTGAAAATACGCACAGATTTTAGCCGACAGTCCCAGAGTCTCCTCAGAACAGCACAACAGAAGGGCCTGTAATGCAGGGATGGACACAGGGAGGTCCTGCATACCTGTTGTGATACTGAGTGCCTTGGCCAACACATACAAACCTCTAAGTCATACAGATGCCCCCGTTGCATCACTACCTGAAAGCAGGGTCCAGCTCCTACAGTGGTAAGGCTCTCGGCAACTGTCCTAGTGAGGTGGGCAGGAAACCTGGTTGCATTCAAAGCAGGGGGGCAGACACCCTCACTGACACGGGGTAGCTCATGGTGTTTCCTGCTCTGAGGATAACCAGGCAGGCTGGAACACAATTTTCTGCCATGTTTTGTTCCCTGGTGGCTCACCACAGGGGCAAATCTAATTCCAGGCAGTGCCCGTGGCGCCTACACATCCCTGGCTGGCAGAGAGTCCCTCGCTGCCCGCATTGCTCCTCTCCAGGGAGCAGTTAGTGGGAGGCAGATAACTCTGCTTGAAGCAGCCCAGAGACTGCACTAATCTCTGCCATGGCAGAGCTGAAATAGCCTGGGCTGACTCTGAGGTCATGGAGCAGCAGAAAGGATTTAAAGTCACTTCATCACATATTCAAGTCAACAGAAAGGAATTGTAAAAACCAGATGCTGGACACATGGCAACCTAGAGCACGTTTTCATGGCTGTGGATGTCCTGGATATAAACAAGATACATACAAACCTTTTTGAATAGGAATTATCACAGCAAATTCAGCCAGCCACTCTCCCCCTTTTTTCCTTGCATGCTGTGGAAGCAATAAGGGGAAATACCCTATGCACTACTACACACCCTGCTAAGCTATGTCATATTTCCTAGCAGCTTTAACAACACTTCATTGATCTTTGAGATGAGGGAAAAGAAAGCAACCCGGTGTTACTGTACAGTAACGAACTTCACCAAGAAGTAATATCACAAACTATAAAAAATTCAGCACAATAAATAAAGTTCAAGCTGTGGCACCACTAAACCACAGCAGTGAAAAGAGGATTCTCTCTGTGTGATGGGAGCGATGTTGCAGAACCCTACTGACATCAGGGCCAGGTTCTGATTCAGGAAAAGAGGTGAGACAGTTTACATGACGCTCACTCTTCACCAGTTTGTTTGATACAGGCTATTTCTGCAGCATGTTCTCTGGGGTTTTCTCCAGCCTAGTTTTCAGTGTCTCAGCAAAGGAGGGCAACGTACCCCTGGGGAGATGAGTAGATCGCTATCCTGGGGATTCCATACATCAGAGAGGATATTTCTGACATTGCCTTTTACCCAGCACTGGTCTTGATTTTCCCCTTCCTTGAACTCTGGGCTCTTGCTTGTTTGTAGTGGACAGATAACAATTACACAGACAGGACTGCACAGGCTTTGGCATTTTACATTCACTTTGCACTTTGTTGGAATAGGTGTGAAAAGGTTGAGGAACAAAAGCATTTCATCCTGGGTGGCCAAATTTTCACCTCTCTAAAGCTGCCTCCCTTGTGAACATGGCAGCACAGTGAAATCTCCCCCTGCAAGATCAGAGTCCCCTGTGTTCACCTGCAATGGACAGAACAAGCAGGAGGGAGTGAATTATTGCTTAAGGTGGACCTGGACTGGGGCAGCACTGAGATGCACGTGAAGAGATGTTGAAATGGGAAAGTTGGAGTGGATAGGCATCTCACCTAAGCAGAGATATCTCCACCCTCTGCTCCCTTTCTAAGCAGGGGAAATAAACATGGTATTTATAGGACTCTATTAACCTGATCTATTTTATTTAGTTGCCTGCTTTAGGACAAGAGGAGTTGCAGAGCCTGGAAACCCCTATGTCTTTAACAAGCCAAGGTGAAGCCATCCACACTTGTTCTAGAGCATTCCAGCCACAAAGCAAAAAGAAGAGCCCAACCTCCCAAAATGAGAACACAACCTGTGCATGCAGGAGAAGGAAACAGAACAGGAGGGGAGGCTGAGCTGTAATATGAAGCAAAAGAAGTTTGAGGAGCGGCCAAAATGAAACCTGTCTTGAAAGATAAGGCAGGAACAGCTAGGTCAAATAACTAAAAAAACCAAATTCACCCAAAACAAAAGCAACAAGAAAACCCACCTAGTTCGTGCTTGCAGTCATCATCCTCACAGTTGTTTTAATGCACATTGGTCATCACTTGCACTGTTCCTGGTTATTCCAGACCCATTGTCTCCCCCAGACACAGCTTTGAGATTTAGTCCATTTGGCAGCTTTGCCTTTTGCTCCAGTCTTTTGAAAGCCATGCTGCAGTCCAAATTATCCTATAGCATGGGAATTCTGCCCGAGAGACAGGCATCTGTGAGCCAAACTGCCACCATCTCACTCCAATGTGAGGGGCACTCCAACGTGAGGGGCACTCCAACATGTGGCGCAGCCAAGTTGAGAAACCTTTTGGGCAGCCTCAATCAGACCTTAAGCTGTGGCTGCAGAATTGCTAAAGCAATACAGCTGTGTGG